TGACCAGGAAATTGCTTTGTCCTTCAGGGAGGAAGAGAAGGACTATGACACTTCAAAAATCACATCGCCATATTCAGTCAAAAGAGTTGAATATGAAGTTCCAGCAACCATTACATATTTACAGGATGGACAGAGATATGAGGAGCCAGATGATTCTTTGTACTTAGGAAAAGAGGAATGTCCAGGTTCTGCTGGGTACACTGAAGATGCAGAAACTACTATGAAAGAGGGAGGTTATGATGTTCTAGAGCACATTGTGCATCATGGTAAAGAAGACTCCAAGTGTTCAGAATCCATCGGATTCTCTGATGAATGCATTCCTGAGGAGTCAGAAACCAGCATTTCATTGGAGGAGGGAGACAAAAACCTGGAAGGTATGGAGACTATATGTGTATAGTTAATCAGGCAACAACCTGTCAATAATTAATAAGGTAGCTAGGACCTAATGGGGAAAGGAGATGACATGGCACAGATGTCAGTAGGAAGTCAACTAACTAGACATTCCTTGTACCTTCTAATTCTGGCATGTCTTCAAAGCTGAGTGTTGACATAATGGATCATCAAGGACCTGGGAAATGGTTGACAGTATAGCTGTCCTTCAGTATCCAAGCCAATAAGTTGCAGAACCATTCATGGATACAAAATCTATGAATGCTCAAACCCCTTATGTAATATGGTAATGATAGTAATCGCCTACAACCTATACATCCTATGGTATACTTCACTTTTATTATATATATATATATACTTTTAAAAATATTCTTTTTATTATATATACTTTTTAAAATATACTTTTATTTTTAATTGGCGCACAGTAAGTGTACATATTTATAGGGTACAACATGAGATTTCAATACATGTAAATAGTGTATAATGATTTAATTGAGGTAATTGCATATCTATTGCCTCACACATATAGCATTTCTTTATGTGGGAAACATCAAAATCCTCTCTACTAGCTATTTTGAAATATTCAATTTATTGATAAATAAATTATCAACCATAATTACCCTACTGTGCTGTAGAACATTACAAACTATTTTTCTTATTCAGCTGCACTCCATTAACCATCCTTTCTCTCTCTCTCCTTTCCTCCCCCAAGCTCCAATTTGCTTTAAATCATCTCTAGATTATTTGTAATATGAATATACTGTAAATTTCACATAAATAGTTGTTATACTGAATCGTTTAGGGAATAATGATAAGAAAAAAGTGCATGCAAGTTTAGTACATATATAACTTTTTTCTAAATATTTTCCATCCACAGTCAGTTGAATCTGCACATGCAGAATCCCTGGATGTAGAGGGCTAATAAGCAAAAGTAAATATTGATTGGCAGCTTATAAAATGTCCACAGTCACCTTCTATCATACATATAAGGAGTTGCTAATCATGGCTTTTAGGTGTAACCCTCTATTCCTCAGATCAAACCACTTTAGTTATTTT